AAGATATTTTAGAACAGAAAAAAATTAAAGATATTCTACATAGATAGAATAACAAGTCATCCAACAAACACATGATTAACCCACTAAAAAATTCGGAGAATTAAACCAAAATAAAACAATGGTCCATGCAAAAATAAAAAATAAAAACTTTTTAAAATTATTAAATAGCATTAGTAATCTTTAAATTTCGAAAAGCATATAATTTTGGTTTAATACTTCCAAACCTTATTTATTAATTTTTATACTCTTAAAGTCAAAACGTTTTGATCTTTTTTGTCTATATTAATGTAATAATGTGCCTTTGTTGGTCTTGTTGATGATGGAGGACATGAGGTGGATGGTTTCTTCTTGTTGCTCTTAGGAAGGTTTTTAGGGATATTGTTAGGAAACTTGGAGTTCTATGGTTATTTGCCCAGTTACCAGATCTTTTGAAAGAGATCCTGGCATCTTGCTCACGTACAAGGAAGGTGCACTTTTGAACTTGTGGGGTAAGACAATAAAAGTTCTAAATTTACAGTTACAATATGTCTACTGGATATAAGTTAAATCAAATATATATTTTGAATGTGGTTTTGGATATAGTTCGAAAGTTGATTATTAGAATTTGATTTTAAAATTTTATTTGGATGAATGATAAAATTAGTTCCGATAAGATTAAAAATAAAAATAAAAATTTTTGTAATTATAATTAAAAAAATTAATAAAAAATTTATACTAAATAAATCTTATTGAAATAGGTATTTGAATTCAATTAATAATGTGATGAACTCAATCGTACTACACCAAAAATATGATAAAATCTAAACCTAAATTAAGTAAGCTTGGCTTAAACTTGATATAAAAATATGTAAGCTACAAACAAGGTTTGTTTTTCATTCAATCTAATTCAATTACTCTAGAACTTGAAGTAAAATCAAACAGTAAAAAGCTACACTTGGGATTATGTTTCTTCACAGCTAATTATCTTTCTGTTATGTGATTTATTGATAAAATTTTATAATTTAAATTATAATGATTAAAATTCAATCTGTAATAACTTTAAAGTATATAAAAAAAAATTGACATTTTTCTAATTTAAATCATATTCTCACATTTTTTATTGGCGTACATTTAAAATATAATACATGTCTAGCGTCAAAAAATCTATCCCATATTCTTATCGTGCTGAATAATACAATAGAGACGTGGAGTTAGGAGAGGATAAGTGCTTGGTCAATTTGAATTGAAGAACAAGAAAAAGGAAAATGAGAAATTAATTAATTAAATTTTAAAAAAAAAACAAATATTTTAAGATTTATTGGGCGGCTCAGCACATGGTATTGTCCATCTCACTAATAATTTATGCCCTATCACAGTATATGGTAAATGAGTATATAATAAATGAGCACATTTTCTTAAAATAAGTACACTTAATGGAGTTTTCCATGTGCATATATAATTAAAAAAAAAAAAAAAAAACACACACAATAGAACAAACTAAATGAATTAATAGAAAATTCAGCATGATGAATTGCAATAGGCCTCCAACTAGAAGGTTCAATTTTTTTAATTTTTGTTGAAGATAGGTAGGTAATGGAGCTGTTTAATACACATGAAATTTTTATTTTTTATTGATTAAAAAAAAACAAACAAATTATTTCAAACGACCTACCTAGTGATGGCAACGGGTCGAGTCGGGACGGGTTTTTGCTCTCCCCGAACCCGACCCGATTTTAAATATACAATACATGAACCCATATCCGATCCGATAATTTTTTTATTTTTAATACCTGTATCCGATCCAACTTGAAATTAATAAAATATTATTTTAAATATAAATATAAAATTAAATATATATAAAAATATATATAATTAAAATATAAAATTTAAAAAATAATTTTTTTTATATATATCGGATCAGGTAAGGTCGGGTTTGCTTAAAACTCGATCCCGAAATTTTTTTTTACTCTACCCGATCCTACCCGATCCGATACCCAATTTTCAAAAAAAAAAAACCGACCCTAAAAGATCAGGTCGGATCGAAACCCGACGGATTCGGGTGATTTTGCCCTCCCTAGACCTACCAAACCTTATCCTATTTTATTCTTATTTTAAATGAACTTCATCCCCTTCAAGGCATAGCTTTCTACTGACCATTTCGTATAGATACATGTATGCCTATGCCAATAACATCAATGCCTCTAGAATTTAATTCAAAATATTACTTTATCGGTCTCATTTTAAGTGTTTTTTTTTTTGTTTAATTTTTATGTAAATTCATGAAATATAACTTATCAAATTATATATAACATATTGATACAAATTTAATCGATTAATTTAAATGAAGTTTATAAAGAAACCTAAAAGATTTAATCTTAATAATTTAATTTAATTAAATGATAATATACTTTTTATTTTAATTATGTAACTCGAAATCCCATGAATCTTCATTTACTTTTTTTTTTTAGAAGTCCTGAAATTGCTACATTTTACATCTTGATAATCAGTTTGGTCCCATACCATAACACTATCGAATAGGCTTTGGTGAGTATTGAAAATATTCGATAGGACATTGGTTGCGGCCAAATAGGGACCAACCATTTGTTGATATTTATCCATTTCTTCTTTACTCATTTTTTTTTTTTTATTCAAGGAAAATAATTCTTTTGTTTCGCTTTTTTTAAGTCAATAAATTTTAGTTAATGCCTACATGTTTGCCAACAAAGCTAAGAAAAGGGATGAAGAGGAAAATTAAGAAACTACCTTGTGTTTTCAGGACACAAAATTAATTTATTCCATTTAATAATAGAAACAGAAAAAAATTAATTAGATGAATAGAAGTATATCTCAAGGTTATCTGATAAAAGGTTTTTATTTTTTTTTTACAAAAAAATTATATTATAAATATTATAATTTAAAATTTAAATTTAATGAATATTATTTTTTAAATCTGATTAGTTGAAGGAAAATGTTATTACCAGTGTCAATTGTAAAAATTAAAAAAAAAAATACCTTGGGCTTAAGTATTATTTTTAAATTTTCATTTGATAAAATTTATTAATCTTAAATCATAAAGTATTTTATAATTTTTTTTCATAATTTGTGTTGGTGAGGTTGCTATTGCTTATTGGAATTAATAATTTCTAATTATAATCTTTTTTATGGAAAATATATATATTCATTATTATTATTATTATTATTATTATTATTATTATTAAATAAGAAGAATGATATGTCATCCCAGCAAGAAGAAGCCATGAAGGTAAGATCCATGCAAATTGATTAAAAATACGGTGGTCATGAAAATCTTTTTTTATATAATAATATATAAATGGTGTATTCAGTAATTTTATTTATAAATAATATTATATTTTTAATATTTATATTTATACTCTCAAATTTATCAAATTAAATTCAAATACTTAAATATATTACAAATCGAATTTAAATACAAAAAATAAATTATCATACTCAAATTGAATTTCTTAATTTTAAATTTTTCAATGGAATCGAATTTTAATTTATAAATAAATGAATACATGGGCAAAAGGACAGGTGTCAATAATTGGCCCTTAAAGCACACCCACTGCCGCATTGTTCATATTTAAAAAAAAGGGTTGATTTTTTATTTAAAAAAACGCCGAGTGCTACGCAGTTATTTCCTTATTAATCAGCCCCCAAAAATAATTAAAATCAGTAACGCAATTGCAATTAAGTCACGAGTGAGGGATAAAACTTCGTCGGGTGTTATGCACACGTGTCAAACCTCAGACCAAAGACAGCACACATGTGCTCGTACGACCGACAAAGCGGTGTCCGAAATTAAAGCCTCAAAGCACGTGTTGAATTACTGGCTTATCCGGTTACCTTACCGGTTATTTCCGGCAATTTTCACACTTGCTTAAAAAAAAGATTTTAAAATTTTTTTCCAATGAAAGAAAAAAACAAGATTTTAATTTTAATTTTTATTTTATAAGAAAAAAAGAGAAATAACGGTCAAGATCTTATACTACTATAAAACAAAACTCTCTCTGCGCCATAATCATTTCTCCTGTAGTTGGACAGCTTTGGTGTTTAGCTTTGGTTTTTTTTCACGTTTGGTGGAGAAGGAAAAGGAGAAGAGGGGAATTGAGAAACTGAAATATTTTAGTTTATGTGGGATTTAGGTTGGATTTTTGAGGTGGGTTTTGCTTGAATTTTGGATTAAGAGAGTGAAAGAAAAATGGAGAGAGATTTTCTGGGTTTGAACTCAAAAGAATCATTGGTTATGGTTAAGGAAGAGGTTAACACTGATGGGTACAGAGAAATAGGTGTGTATCTTCTTCTCTTTTTTGGTTCCTAAAGTTTTTTTTTTTTTGTCTTAAGTTCTTCCATTTTTTCTTTTGGCTGTTGGTGATTTTTCGTTTGTTCCAAAATTTGGCTAGGTGTTGAATATGTGGTGATTTTTTCTTTTCCTTTGTATTGCATGGATGGTGGAAGTAAGATATTTGAGTGAAAAAGAAAATAGAAGGGATTAATGAATGGATAGTTGTTATAAAAGAAAATAGAAGGGATTAATGAATGGATAGTTGTTATAAAAGAAAATAGAAGGGATTAATGAATGGATATTTGTTATAAAAAGTGTTTGTTTCAATCTTTGGATAATTCTGATAAAAAAATCCAATTGTAGCACAGTACCTTAAGAACAAGTTTTTTTTTTTTTTTTCTTGTTATAAATCTATTACTGGATTGGATTTTTGTAAAAAATTATATGATTGGCACATAAAAAAAGGATGGATAAATTTCCTTTTGGTCACTGGTGATTGGTCATAGATAACTTGGTTTCGATTGGACATTTCATGTAATTAATTATGCCAATTTGTTGATTTATGAAAATTGTGCTTGTTAATGTTTTATCCTTAGCTATAGCTTTGCATGTATCTAATCTTGGTGGTGTTTGTCATTTTTATTTGGGATTATAGGTTTTAGTAAAAGCTCAGGGATACAATGGCCTTTTTCAAACAAGGTTTCTGCTGTTCCACAGCTGATGACTTTTAATTTTGCTCAAGGAGATAAAACTAAAAAGACTGGATCTGATTCACTGGTATCCCCCGGTTTCATGCCTATTTCAACAGCAGATGCTGCTGAGGTTCAGGTTTGGCATCATCTCTTGTCCTCGATTAGTTGCTTGATGACCATTTCAATTGAGTCTAAGTTGACAGCTAGACATTGTCTTTTTGTTTTTCTAAAATGAGAAATCTATTTCTTGGTTTTATGAAATTATGAGAGGAATGAGCCTTTCTTAGGCATTACTTCTCTATGCAGATAGGGCTGCACCTTAATTTACATTTTTTTTTTGGGGAAAGCTTCTTAATATAGTGGCTGGAAATGTCTCCAACACTATGTGAATTGTCAACTGATATTGTTTTCACTTTTCCCATTGATCTTTACCATCTAGAAATCATTCAATCACAATAGGCAAGGTGGCAGTCATTTTTCATTGACAACTAGTTCTGTTCAACATGATGCACATTCTGTTCAATGTCCTTATGATGTGAAGATGTTTCCGGTCTCAAACCAGGCAACCTCTCTTTCTGCGGGCAACACGTTCATTAAGAATCATTTTGCTACCTCTGGTCAAAATTTTCCCTTTACTACCATGAAGCCACAATTACTTGGAGGAATTCCAGTGACAACTCCACATACAATTCTTCCCAACCTTGGTTCTGTTGGTGGAAGTATTGAACCATGGTAAACTTAAAGATTTTATTCTGAGTTCAGTTACTTTAGCAAAACTGTTGACAATATGATATTGAATCTTGGTTGGAATTTCATTTTTGTAATTAGGAAAAGTGTCAAGGCCTCTGGATCACCTGATCAATTGACAATCTTTTATGCGGGTACAGTGAATGTCTATGATGCTATCACCCCTGAGAAGGTGCTCCTCTTTCTTTCCCTTTCAGGAAAAAGTTTTTGTTAGTTGCAATCTATTGGTCAGTGGAAAGCTTAAAAAGTTACTTCTTTTGAATCTTATCCAGGCTCGGGCTATCATGCTCCTGGCTGGGAATGGGTCTTCCATGGCTTCTAATGTGGCACATCCAAAAGTCCAAGTCCAGACACCTATTTCAAAGCCAGTTCAAGTTAATAGTGTTCCTGCAAACCAGCTCATAAATATACAACTGACCTCTGGTATCTCTAGCCCTTTGTCCGTTTCATCTCATGCTGGTGCTCAGTCCTGGAGTGGGTCCACTAGCACCGATAAGTTGATGGTATGCAAGACCGCAGGAACTCCAACAAACAGTGTTGGAAAAGTGGAGCCTCCAAAATTGGTGAATACCATTGGATCTGTTGCTGCAACTGGCATTATGCCTTCAGGTATGCCCTTATGTTCTTAAAGATTTCTATTCTTTGTGTTATCTTCAAGGAAACAGTTTCTGGTCTTGAAGAAACTGAACTATCTCTGACCATTTCGTTATGCATATGCCAGAAATTACAAAATACATGACGCATTGATATTATCATGTGCTTTTTAGCTAAAATTACTGTTTGGAAACTCATCAATGAATTTCATTTATAAATGACTCTGAATTGTTTGCCTGCAGTTCCACAGGCTCGCAAAGCTTCCTTGGCTCGATTTTTGGAGAAGCGCAAGGAAAGGTTAGTTGCTTTTGAAGATATTTTTGTAGTTTCATCCTAAATATGGTTCTTGAAACTCTTTCAAACTACTAGTGGACTATGTTTCACTAAGTGTTTAAATGTCATTTCAAGGTTGAATATGGTTGAGGCGTGAATATAGATTATGTTGGGTAATTGGCTGGAGGTTTAAGGCATGTTGATAGGCTACTTTACTGTCTTATTCAGTTATTTTCTACAAGTCCTGTCTTTGCTGGGAATTTTATGCTTAGAAGCAAGTTTGGTGATACACTCTTTATGTAAAGAGGGACTGGGGGAGAGACATCAGGGAACCATGAAAAAAGCCATCCCCCTATCAACATCTCTCTAGGGAATTGAGGTTAAAGAATATAACTTGGAATTTGTTACGTGCCTAGAAACTTATTGCTATAATAATTTGACATGTAATGATGGTTATATATAATTATAATCTGCTAAATTGGCTGCTTTCGGTTATAAAGTTTTAAATAAGTTCATTGTTGGCAATAAAAGCTCGACTTCTGATCTTGTGCTCGAATAAAGCCCATTATTTGCTGTTGTAGGGTTACGAGTGTAGCGCCATACAATCTTAGCAAGAAGTCTCTAGATTTTGCTGCCTTGGAATCCAATGCATGAACTTTACTGCAACCTCTGCAGCGGGGTCCTTCTCTCTTGGCAAGCAAGGAGGGTGAACCATGATTTATTATTTGGCATTAGGACATTAATGCATATGTAGCGTGTCAAAAATGTAAGAACTGGCATTTTGTTTCTTTAGTTTCCATCAACTAAGTTCATTGTGTAGTTGGTGTAGTGTTATACCTTTTTGCTTTCTTATATTAATGTGGATGATTTGCTACTCTGTAACTCATTCAATTGTTGTTACATGGTAGAAATAATACAATACTAAGATTTTGTTTTCTCTTTCTTACGTATTTCTGAATCATCTAAAGCTTTGTTTTGCTTAAATTATTTGGAGTACCCTTTACATATGAGAAAAGTGTGCCATGCCTTGATTTGGTTTGGATTTTGGAGTTTTGCTGTGAAACAAAATCATGCCCAAATTTAAAGTTCTCAAACTTGAACAAAAAAACAAATTTAGGGGGTGAAGAATGTTCAATTGGGTTGGTTGGCTGGTCTTAGTTTGTCCAACCCCTAATATTTACCTAGGTTTGAAGTTACTTTCTAGCTTAGTTTGGGTTATTTGGACAGGATAAGCTGTTGGTAACCAGTTCATACTTGTTCAAGTGGATTGGTGGTAACATGTTAGACATCATGTATCATTTCAAATGTCTGGTTATTTTCATGATCAGCCATGTGCCTACCCAAGCTAATGAAAAGTAGAAATCACCTTTAGTTGGATCCAGCAATTATCACCTGCCATATCCTTGCAGGATAAGATCTTTCAATATATGATTATGACATTGACCAACTCCTATTGTGGGCAATTTTGAAGATTAAAGGCTAAGTTAATACTCCCTCCATCCCAAAATCATTATCCTTCATTGAATTTTTTTGTCAAATTAATTCAATTTTGACTTTTATTTTTAATAAAATAAAAAAATAAAAAATTTTAAAAATAAGATTTGTAAATTTTAAATTTCAAAAATTTTAAAACATTTTTTTAATACTGTAATTCAACATAATATTGTAAAACAAACAGGAAGGTCTTAAGTTAGTTTGATAAAATAAATAAATAAAAAAGGCAATAAAAGACAATTATTTTGGGAAGAAAGGGGTATTATAAAATGATGTGAATGATGATAATATAATATTTTTTAATACATGTGAGAGAGTTTAAAAGATGGGGAATTCACATTTTGAACTGACAAATGAAATACAAATTTTAAATTTAACTTCTAAAGAAGTATTATTGCAAAGTCAAGTTTGAAATATTAATTCAAAAAATATGTATTTTTTTTTTATAATTGAGATCAAATTTTTTATGATTATTTTTTTTGCAAATTTTTTTTTTGTTTAATTTTTCCTAAATGATCAAATTTGATAACTTTAATTGCAATATGCCACTAGTAATCTATGAAAAAAAATGTCACTACTAATAAAACTCTTTAAAAAATTTTATTAATGATAAATTTCAAAATTTATTAATTTTTGTTGATGCTAATTATTTTTAATATGATAAGATATCTTTAAGTTTTATTTAAATTTAATTTTCTTACACGATTTTAAAAATACAATTATTTTTCATATTGATATGATACATTTAAAATTTTATATAAATTAAATCTGGATTAACATAATAAATTAATTTCATCTGTTATCAGTTGAATTAATTCATATAACTTGTTCGAGTTGATTTTAAATGCATTATGCAAATAAAATTTTCATACTATTTATTTATCCGAAATTTTTTGCATCCAAAAGAGCTTCAAATGTGGCCAACCAAAAAAAGAAAAGTGGTGTCAAAAAAGCTTTAAATGTGGCAAACAAAATCACCAAAAAAAAAAGAAAGTGGTGTCTAAAAATTTAAATGGGTTATTACAAGACACAAGGTTCACGTGCTTACATAAAGGCAATGGAGTATGTTACTATCACAAGTAGATGAGATTGAATGGCTCTGAATTCTTCATGTTCATGGCCTGCCCCCCCTTCATAAATCATAAAAATCCAATTTCTATGTTCTTTCTCTTTCGAAATTCACCAACCTTTTTTTTTTCTTGCTTTTAAAATTCTCATTCATGATTGGATGGAGGAATATGGTGGTACAAGAAACCTAAAAAAAAAAATTTATCAGAGTTGACAGAAATGATAAATGATGAATGTTGAATGAATTAGTATTTAAATTCGAATCCTTTCATAATTTTTTATTGATAAATAATTTATAAATTCAAAAAATTCACAAATAAAATTGGATTCGTAAATCTCAATTATATTAATGATTTATTTTAATTTTGAAAATAGGATTTTTTTTTATTTTTAAATTTTTATTACAAAAAAGAAAAAAATTAAAGATAAGATCAAAAATAAATAATCCAGTTGGCATGTTGTTAACATCAGTCACAGTTTCTTTTTAATTTTATTTGGTGGTAAAGATAAAGCCCATGGGACCATAACATAACGTACAGTTTTCGTCAAACCTATACATCAATATTTGCTTCTCCAGCTGTTTTAAGTTTTTTTCTTCAGCCTTAAGGTTTTTAATTTTTTATCTATATTTATTTTATATCTTTTTAGGATTTTTTTTTATATAAATGGATTATAAAAATCCAAACAAAAATTACTTTTTCATGCATCCGCTTAAGCAATGCATTGACAAAATTCAAAAGAGATTGAAAATTTTTATAAAATCCACTCATCCCACAAACAAATTTTACTAAAATATGAACACAAAAATAATTATTTTGCTTTTAAAATCTTATATTTTTTTTAATTAAAAATTTATGTGTTTATAAAAAATTATTCATTTTACAACATGGAGACCCATAATCTACAAGCAAAGTTATTTCTTACCGTTAGACATAAATCCAACTTAGCAATTGGCCCTTGATCTTGCTTGCCTAAATCTCGACAAATTACTGGATAATTTTCATGCCCATTTGTTCTTTTAAACTGACTACTAATCCTTTTTGCTTAACAAAAATGTCAAAGGACAAGGGGGAAACCCTTGCCTATTATGTGTTGCTGCTAGCCAATTAATCTTGAACTTGATGGTCGGATCTCATATTTTCAAATCAATGCGAGCCCATCTATGTACAGGCTGATATGCTCATTTAAAAAATATACACAAGACACTGAAGAAATGAAAATAATTACCGACTCATGTTGGTTCAAGTAACAAAAAGTTTAATTTTTTTTAAGTAAGATTTTAATTTTAAATCTTTAGAAAAAATAAATTTAAAAAAACTTATAACTCTTATGATTCTGCTCAACTCCGAATTAATCAAAATTTAAAATGATTATCAGATATTAAAGAGTTTTAGACAAAAAAAATTGATTATAAAATTGTAAACTACATAAATAAGTTTGACTTTCTTTTCATTTTCATCTCATTTTGTAGAGAAAAAGCTTGCTTAAATTTGATCACTTTCTTGTGAATTTGATGTTAGAAATAATCGGTCTGTTTCTTTCAAGATTGCCTTCAAGATTTTAGTTCTGGAAAATTTTTTTTAATCCATTACATACGGAATAAAGAATAAAGATGTGATTTGAATTCTTATTTTACATTTTTTTTTCTTTAATCTTGTTAATTATTTGGAAAAAAATGAAAATAATTCTGAAGTACTTTGCATATAAAGAAAAACTCAATTGACAAGAAAGAGAGCTTCCCTCCCAATCAACTGCAGTAATACCGGTGGGTAAATGGTCTTCTTTATCATTGAGATTGATTTTATGTTGTTATAAGAAAACAACGTCGTAAGTTGAAAATTTAGGATTTTCTTTTAAATCCAGTTTCTTGACGATCTCACCCAGAAAAATATCAGCCCATAGAAGGAAATTCGTCTGGCATGTGGTCCAGTAGCTAGATCTTAAGCATTCAACGTCTGTCCAATATAGATTAGTGAAATTGGGCTTTTCATTCTTCCTTCTCTTTCGGCTCAGCAAACAAGTTTTTCCTCTTAAGAACATTTGGATTTTTTTTTTAACCCTAAACCCTTGAAATAAACTCTTAATTTTTAATTTTTATTTATCGTGAGTTAAATTTTTGTATGGATTTTTTAAAAAAAATTAGCTCATAAGAGTAACTTTGATGACGTTAAATTGTTTATCTCCTCCTGCTTCTCTAGGAAGATTGATACAAGACCATGTGTTTGGTGTTGAAAGACTTGGGGCCTGTATTGCGTAGGTCGGTTTTCGTTCTTTATGCTCTTTGTACATAAAAAAAAAAAACTTTTAATTTGTATTTAAATAAATTTTTAATATTTAATTTGTACATAAGTAAAATTTTAATATAAATTAAGTTTTTTATTTAAAATAATAGTTTATTTAAATATAAATCAAAAGATAAAAGACTTATATAAATACAATCAAAATATAAAACTTATGTAAGAAAAATGAAATAATTTAAAAACTATTTTTAGTATTTTAGCTTAACAAAATCAAACAAGAGATGGCAATATTGGGGATTCTTATTTATTATCCTTATCTCTTAAGCCCAACGATTTAGTCTAACTTTTCCTTTGTCAATCTGCAACCTTGATAGCTGAAATTAATCAAGGTTGTACTTTGAATATATGCCAATATCTTATCATCTAAACTAAATTCTTGATTACTCGACTAAAGATGGCAAAATTAATTCACCCAACCCAATGAGATGAATTTTTTTTTTTAATTTTCAACATTAAAGATTGGTTTTGAGTTAGTTTGCCCCTTTTGAACATTACTAATAATTCTAGTAAGACTTGTTTGCTATAGTTAGCATTTGGAGTTAATGAAGAAAGTGACTTTCCCCTTTTGGTTCTCTCATTATTGAAAAAGAAAGAACCATAAAATTTTTTGAACTTGTTTTTACTTTCAACGTTCATATGCATGCGTGGATGAATCTTTTGGTAGGCTTTGTTGTCAACAAATTAAATTTGCAACATTTAATATATGAAAAAAAGGAAAAACAAAAAAAACAAAAAAACTTCATTTGATGCAAAAGTATTCAAAATCTAATGAGTATATATTTCCTAAAATCCACGTGTAATGACACATCGACGTGAAAATCCCACTATATTTCGAATAATTTTTGCCAACTTGAGGCGGCTCACCACCATTGAACTTTTTCAAGAACAGCCATAATAGGTGTCAAATCTTACACTGATATATACGTTATTGGAGAATGACTCATGAATTGAAATAGAATGAAAATTGAGAAAAGAAAAAAAAAAGTGCAATAGATATTTCGTTTTTGCCCCTTTTTGGAGGGTAACGAAGCAAAACAAAAACTTGAGTTTATGCCATTAAATTTCAGCCTCAAATTT